ATGGAGTTAGTTACATGAAACACATGGAAAGTTCTTTAATCTAAAGATGAAATATGTGAAGTAATTACAACTTTCACATGCACTTGAAAGTAAGTGACATGTGAAAGTTATAAACTCTTCATGTGTCTCATAATCAACTAACTTTCATGTAAAAGTTAGAAACTCTTCATGTGTCTCTTAATCAACTAAATTCCAAAACACTTGAAGGGACATTTGAAATAGTTGTCTTTATTGCCTTTGTTGATGAAGCCTTGTGGTTATTCAACATAAATCTCTTATTGGAGCACTCCATTTAGAAAGGATGATTTGACATCCAATTGATAGATGTTTCATCCTTTTTGTGTTGCAAGAACTATTAAAACTCTAATTTTATATCTAAGCTAGCAACTGGAGAAAATGTCTCATTATATTCGATTCTTGGTTATTGTGAGTAGCATTTGGCAACCAATCTTGCTTGTGCTTTTGTGTAGTTCCATCATGATTGAGTTTTGTTTTATATATCCATTTCACTCCAATGAAGTCTTTCCCATGAGGGAAATTTATAAGCTCCCAAGTGTTATTCTTCTTAATCATTTTAATCTCTTCTTCCATAGCTTTGACCCATACTTCTAGATTTGATGCTTCTTCATAAGAGTTAGGCTCAATCATGGCCAGTTTTATATATGTCTACCAAAGATCTTAGTCATCTTAGATTGGATTAATGTGAAGAATCTTGTTGTTGTGGAGGTGGAGNTAACAGTAACAATTTAAAACATATAATATAAATTAGTTAAAAATGATAATCAAACACACTCATGGCCCACTAAAGGTATGGAAGACCATTTACTTAACAACTTGCAGAGACTATAATAAGTCTAGAATAAAAAACTAATACTTGTTTACTTATCTAGTATGCTTGGAAACTATATCATTTTTTATATAGATCTCATTTAGCAATATTTACACAATAAGGTGACTCCTTACATATTATTGATTAGAATGACTCTTCACTCTTGACTAGATGGTAGAAAACCTCATTCTGTTCTCACCATCTGATACATTTTTAAGTCACATCAATTGATGTAAACCTTAGAACGTTAGTGGGATTTTGATAAATTGGGAACTTAAAAATCCATGGAACTAACCATAAAGTTTGCCAAAACATATGTATATGGTAAGTGAAATTTACTTTCCATAAAAAAAACCCATGTAAAAATAAGAATAAGTAACAAAAGAAAATATAAAAGAGATTGAGAAAAGAGATGGATAGAACATGCCACCATAAAGAGTAATATTAGAGGATAAGTGTCATGAGAATTTGTCATGTTTTTAAGATAACTAAAACAAGAGAAGAGAACTTTGAAGACTCTCAAAGAAGCCTCGTAAGAAGAATTTCATTTAATCTTCAAAAATAATTTAGAAGTGAAGCTAGACATCTTATTTATAGCCTTATGTAAACCTGTTAATTTAGCTCAATCATATGGTTTGATCCCGATCCACATGAGTTAGGGTCAGAAAAATTTACAAGGCCAAAAAACACCCTATTAAAATAGCTCAAAGCGTCAAAATATCCCCAAAAGCTCTATGGGCCAGGGTCAGCCCATGGATCTTCTTTATAACACATATTATACGTCATTGTAAATTAATAAATAAATTTCAGTCAGTATTAAATTATATATTATATATTTTATTTAATAACATAATATAAGTATGATATAAAAATATTAAGAATTATAATATATTAGACTATCTAATAAAATATATAATTTATTTGTGTACATAAATGACATTGTTTCTAAAAGTCATTTAAAGTCATCTAGTAGGATCAAACTCACCTTAATTCTAACCCTAACCCACTTGAGAAGAGACTTTGGGGGTTGGGGCTTTTTTGGGTCCTTATATAAGAGGGCCTCTTAAAAGAGTGATTATTTGATAAGCACATGGAGTTAGTTACATGAAACACATGGAAAGTTCTTTAATCTAAAGATGAAATATGTGAAGTAATTACAACTTTCACATGCACTTGAAAGTAAGTGACATGTGAAAGTTATAAACTCTTCATGTGTCTCATAATCAACTAACTTTCATGTAAAAGTTAGAAACTCTTCATGTGTCTCTTAATCAACTAAATTCCAAAACACTTGAAGGGACATTTGAAATAGTTGTCTTTATTGCCTTTGTTGATGAAGCCTTGTGGTTATTCAACATAAATCTCTTATTGGAGCACTCCATTTAGAAAGGATGATTTGACATCCAATTGATAGATGTTTCATCCTTTTTGTGTTGCAAGAACTATTAAAACTCTAATTTTATATCTAAGCTAGCAACTGGAGAAAATGTCTCATTATATTCGATTCTTGGTTATTGTGAGTAGCATTTGGCAACCAATCTTGCTTGTGCTTTTGTGTAGTTCCATCATGATTGAGTTTTGTTTTATATATCCATTTCACTCCAATGAAGTCTTTCCCATGAGGGAAATTTATAAGCTCCCAAGTGTTATTCTTCTTAATCATTTTAATCTCTTCTTCCATAGCTTTGACCCATACTTCTAGATTTGATGCTTCTTCATAAGAGTTAGGCTCAATCATGGCCAGTTTTATATATGTCTACCAAAGATCTTAGTCATCTTAGATTGGATTAATGTGAAGAATCTTGTTGTTGTGGAGGTGGAGAAAGCGTACCTAAATTTTTTGTCTCTTCTTAAGATTGTTGCACAAGAACTAAAATGTTGCTTTTAACAACTTTTTCTTCTTCCCAATTCCAAGAAGCATTTTCATCAACTTCAACATCTCGACTAATGATAGCCTTTTTGTTTGTAGGTTGTAGACTCGATAGCCTTTCGATTATGTGCTATATCCGAAGAATATTCCTCGTATAGTCTTGTCTTCAAGCTTGTGTTTCCTTTGATCAGGAACATGTATGTATCAGATAGACCCAAATACTCATAGGTGTTTAACTTATGGCTTTCTTATACTCCAAGCTTTAATAGGAGTCTTGTCTTGGACTGCCTTAGTTGTACATCTGTTTAGAATGTAAACTATAGTGTAGGCTGCTTCAGCCCAAAAAATGTTAGGCATACTTTTCTCTTTTAGAATTGATCTTGCCTTCTCCATGACTATGCGATTCTTTCTCTCTGACACACCATTTTGTGTTGGAGTGTATAGAATGGTAAGTTGTTTCTATATGCCTTCATCTTCGTAGAATTTGTCAAACTCGCGAGATTTGTACTCCTTACCACGATCACTTTTAAGTACTTTTATCTGTTTCCTACTTTGCTTCTCGACACAGGCCTTACATTTCTTGAATACTCCAAAGACTTCTAACTTTAGCTTTAAGAAACAAACTCATGTCATTCTATGTACATGTTTATGGTGGTCATAGGTGGTTGCTAGTTGGGCTGGTGGTGTGTTTGTTGTGTATGTGTGGTATAATGCTTGTGATTGTTGGTGGTGTGATGGTGTTGCTTGCCATTGGTGGTAAATGTGCTCTTGTTGGTATGGATCATTTGTCTTTGGAGGTTTGTTAGTGATGGTTGTGGTAATCGTGGTTCTTGTTGGAGGTGGTGGTTGTTGGTGTTTAGGGTGGTTTTAGTTGTGTTTAGTATGCTTCGATTTGCTTTTGGTGGTTGTGGTTGCTCGTGATTGTGGTTTAAGGTGGTGTTGCTATGATATCCTCTAGTTATATTTTTTACGGGTAAGAGAAATTTAATTATTTATTTCTATGGGTATTTTTCTCCTTAACGTAGTTTATTTATTTAATTTAACATGATTAATTTATGGTTATATATTACTTTTGTTGTATGGTTTAGAATTTAATTGTTTATATTAGGAGTTTTAGTTTAAAATTAATTAATTTGTGTACCAAAATTATGAAATATAATTTAAATATGTTTAAATATTTGAAAACTGATGATAGTATTAGATAAAATTATGATTTAATATCTGTTATCCTAATGACAAAATTATAATAAGTTAGTACCAAATGTAGTATAATATTGTTTTCTAAAATTAGCATGAACTTAATTTAAATATAATTATAACATAATCATTTTTTTAAAATTATCATTAACAAATAAATAAAATTGTTAAATTTTATAATCTAAATTTTGTAAATTTATAATTAGCTGTGAATTGTAAATTTATATTTTTTATAACTAATTGGTTTAATTGTAAATTTATCTAATTTATAATTTATATTTTTATGAAATTGTAAGGTAAATATAATTAAATAAAAAATTGAGAATTATAGAGATTTATTTTTAAATGGTTTGGGGGGATTTGTGAAATGCACACACAAGATCCATTGACCAGTGTATTTTTTTGACAAAGATATTAAAATTTCATGGGAAATAGCAAGGTTGACGATCCTTTGCAGTATTGCTTATGTACAAAATGCGTTTGACGTCAACTCTAAATATTTGAGAATTTGTATCATAGAAAGAGTCTCTGCTGTTGTCATATTTAGTGTACATGGAACCATCTGTGATATAATTCCAATGATGAGACCTAAAGTATTTATTATGTCGTGGGAGTGTTTATGTCGTGGGAGTGTTTAAGAATAACTAATTTGGTAAAAAAAAATACATTTCTATTAATCATTGCGGAACAAGTTCCTTAAGTTTGTTCACCTTATTGGATATAATTGAAGATTCATCCATTTGAAAAAATGGTTCCTTAAAAATTTAATAATGTGTTGAATATAATATGAAGACAAAATTTGTAATTCAACCATACCTCCAACCTCATGTTATGTTCGGAACGGTCTATTTTATTCATAAGTTAAGGTAATATCTTCTCAACTATATAATCACTTCACATACATAATCTATTACTTCTTATTTACATTACCAATTTTTTACCCTTTAGAATTTTTTTAAGTTTAATACTAGATAACACTCGTGACGTGGTAAGGTAATATTTATTTATTGATTTAATTTAACAAAAATGATATAATTAAATAAATTATAAAAGAAGCATGAAAAATGCACGTATAGCACTGAAGAAGTGAAGATAGCTGAAGCGAGAGTAGTATCTGCTAAACCTACGAATTCCAATGCGCCGTCATACGCTAGTGGTTCACCTCCGCGGCTGTACCACTTATTTTGGAACGTCGTTGTAGAAGTCGCGTTGAAAATGCGCCTTTTCAGCAGAAGATACATTATACCTGCAATACACTTTACGTGAAGTGTCACAGAAACTTGGGGACCAACGCAATCTCGAAGAAGACACTCATGGGGACGCGAACCAAATCCCCGACCAAACCCCCAAGAAGATTCCACAACCACGCGCGTCATGGCTCACCTCAAAGACTCTCTCATTTCTCAACTCAAGAAACTCGACCCTTCGCTTTCCCTCCACTCGCGCCACTCCGCCCTCATCGAACGCCGCCTCCGCGACCTTTTTCCCGTGTTCCACACCCCCACGCACCCTCCATATGCCTTGGTATCGTTATCGTTTTTTATTTTTCGTTTTGTTTTTCGGATTTCGGATTCGTAATGCTGTGCATTTACGTTACCATATGAATGTTTGCGATGTTTATTATTATTTTTTTGTAGATGATACGTAGTGCGATATTAGGGTTGGAGGATGGGTCGGGATCGACGGAGGAAGCGATATCGGAGTACATTAAGAGGGAGTACAGTGATTTACCGTGGGCTCATGCCAGGATTCTAGGTCTGCAATTAGAGAATCTTTGTGAGATAGGGGAGATTGCGCGCGTTTCCGGTTGGAGGTATGTGCTGAAGGTTGAGGATGAAGTGAAGGAAAAATGTGTGAGGGTAGCGAGAAGAAGAATAAGAGGGGCAAACGGAGAAGTAATAAACGTGGCGAGACAGGGAGTGCTGAAGAAGAATGCAAAAAGGGACGGGTACTAGGGGCTTGGAAAACAAATTCTTCAAAAAAAAAAAAAAAAAAAAAAAAAAAAAAAAAACAACACCAGGAAGTAGAACCGCAAAGGGCTTTTAGTAGAGTCACCAAAATCAGGTGATGCAACAGTTGGGAAAATCTTTATTTGATGTGGTTGTTTTGTTTTGATTGGGAGTGGTTTACTGTTTGAACATACATACTATCTGTGGTTTATATGTTTATGGGCCATGGATTAGAGACACCTTTCAAATGATTAATTTTCAGAGTACTTGTCTTTTTTTGGTCATTTGCGGCTGTTATAAATTAACGGAAGGACATGTTGCGGATTTGACTCTTCGACTGTTCCAAACCTACTCTATGATTTTTTTTTTCAGTTTTCAATCCGTTTTACTCAATCTAGCTAATTATATTATAATGGCTAGCTTGCCCCTAAAACGTGTTCCATGCTATGCTTCCGTTCACTATGGTAAACCCGCTTTATTGTTTCCCTTAACTTTCTTAATCTTTTGTGAGTCCTTGATGTCAATACTTATTAAATTATTCTTGAAATGTAACTTTAAATGTGAATCCTTGTCCGTTGTATTTGACTCTGGATTGTACAGATAAGTTTCTAAATGTTAATGTCAAAACAGGATTCCAGTGTGCATTTGGAAACAACTTGTTCCTCCCAGCCAACATCATTGGAGTGCATACCAGCTGCAAACCCGTTATCACCTGCACAATTGCAACAGCAAAGGCCTTGTAATGGGACTTCAGAAAGTAATTTGGATACAGTAGACAAGATTTCGGGTTCATTATCTTTGAATGTTGAGGTATGCAAGGGAGATACGACACTGATGACTGTTGCATCATCATCAATCCAAAGAGGAGGAGCCTACTGGGGTTTAAGCAATTGCAGATCACGAGGGGAAGTCGTTGTTGCCCTCATGTGATACTACTGTTGCCGAGCAAGGGCCAAATGAAGAGAAAACTGATGAAAGGTGCCCGTCACAAACCCAAGGTCAAGCTACAACTGGAGGAAGGGGTCGTAGGCTACACAGAAATGCCAATTGCTGCAATCAGAGGATACACCTACATGATCAAGCTGAACATCTAATGTGTTCTTCACATTCAAACCAAAAAGAATCTAGAAAGCAACTAATTTTCCTGGTAAATCCATTCGCACCAATTTTGGTCAGCAATATTCGGTCCTACTTCACAAGGTATCTGGAGGGCACAATATCAGCTGAAATAAAATTACCTCCAACACAGGGGCAACATGAAGTTTCTTCAGATATTGATTTAGGTAGATTGTCCAGAATAAAAGCTTCATCAACTTTAGGAAATGTTCACGATGACAACCCCAGCATACCAATGAAGGAAGTTCTAAAGGGAACCTAGACGAGGGTCCTATGTCCTGGGATTATGACCAGAGGCTCCAAAACGTGGGAGAGGAAGGCCTCGAAAGTTCCAGACTGTAGCAAATTGTGCAGTAGGGACATGTTGCCTTCAGATGATGGCAATCTTCACGAACATAAACCAAATATAAACGAAATGGAGAAGCAGGATCAGTATGGCGGGGGTAGAGGTTTAGGGAGATTTGGTCGAGGTAGAGGTAGAGGTAGAGGTAGGGGCAGATCTCCTACACTAAATAGAAAAGCTAATCAATGTGACGAGCACTTACAACAAGGGACATCAAGAAGCTGGTCGAGGGTAGAGGCCAGAGAGTCGTCCGGGCAGGGCCACCAAAAAAAACAGAATGAAAATCCAATCCAATTGAGAAAGCAACAAAAATCAAGAAGATCAACATCCGCATCGAGGAAGGGGGAGGCCCCCTAAACGGAACATAATCGATTATGAGGCACAATTATCAGAAGTTCAAGCTAAAGAACAGCATGTTCGAGCTAGAGGCCGTGGAAGGCCTCCTAAACCAAATCAACATGCAAATCAGTTTGAGGACCAATTGCAATCTCCTAGTTCAGGGAGGAATGATAACCAAAGTTTGGAGCAGAAGCAGTTCAGTGTACAAAGTCCGGTAAGGCGTCATGAATCAGAGTCAGGAGAGGCAAAGTCACCTGCAAAATTAAGGCAGGAATTGGAATCAAAGTATGGGTCGGGTGAGGTTTCCCGGTTCAAACGTTGAAGAAAATGATACCCATGGCGGTTAATGCCAGTACAAACGTAAAGTTCAAGGTATTGATGGATGCTGGCCACTCAGGCAAAATCATAAATAGAATCGAGTTATCAGTACTTGGAATACAAGCATGACAATTCAGGAGAGGGTCTCCTTAATTCATTTGCAGTTTATGGAAGCATAAAAACCCTGGTTTTAATTTAAAACCACTAGAAACCTTCTGGGTCGGTCGGGAAAAGTTGCTCTAGCTGATCCTTTTTTCAGTAGGTATATTTTGTTAAATGCAAGTCTGATAGAGTCTTGTAGCTCTTCGTGTTCTTTTCTCTTGGTATGATGGTGTGTGATGAAAGTATATTTTCAAACATTCTTGTCTCCATATTATGTCAACATTCTTGGCTTTGGATTAACCAAACCTCATTGGAATACGGAGCTCTATCCCCATTTTTCGATGAGGAACAATAAAGCTGTGAAGGATTGGTATTGACCCCAAAAACTTTAGGTTATTGTGACAATGTGTTTTGATGGGCAGGCACAAGATGGTGTGTTTGTGTGTTGCAAGCATGCTAACTTGGGAATTCGTTGTTTTGTAATGAAATAAATGAATGTTGCCATATACCTATATACCTTAGAGTTCCCCAACCCGAGTTTGAATTTCCAATCTTTAATTCATTTTGGTCTGTTGAAGAATAATCTTAAGTGATGAAAGTTAAGAAACAAAGTGAAGTCTTTTGTTCAATACTGTAGACTTGGTGATAAGCAATCCGTTAGTTGATTAAGTATTCCATGAATTTCAGTAGGATCTGAAATTTTATTACCATCATATTCATCATTGGGTTATTGTTGTCTTCTGATAGGAAAATTTACACGCTCGGTGTATCTATTATTTTTTTTTAAATTTCTAAAATCAGTGTAGATTTAAAAAAATTGCACATGTAAATACTTTCACAAACAACTTTATAAGAAATCATGCTTAAAAAATAACTGTGTTTTAATATAAGTTTGTATTTAACTAAGTTGAGTTCTAGATAAATTCGGAAATTTTTGAAAATTTTTAATTGAGGTCTTATTAAATTTTTGTGGCTTATTAAGTCTTTAATTTTAAAATTTTTTAATTGAGTATAAATTTTTTTGTTAATTATGTGATGCAACAGTTATCTTACTCTATCACTGATTTGAATGTTGTCACATATGATTTTTCAAAAAAAGACTACTATGATAAGAATATCTTAAATATTTATAATGTTTAAATTTTTTTAAAGTTAATAAAAATTATAGAATATTAAATTAAAAAATAAATATAAAATTAAGAAATTTAAAAAATTACGAAATTAAAAAAATATAAAATTATAAAATATTATAAAATTAATATATATATATATATATATATATATATATATATTAATTTTGCAACATGAAAAAGGCTTATACCGACTTGATCATAAGATATTAACCTTGTCACATAGGTTGGATAGAGTAACTCCTCCTAATGGTGGTTTGACAGAGTTGGAAGGGTATTGCCTGCTCGAAATTTGTTGTGTCGTGAGATGTGCTTATGATAAGTTCAATATTTCTTATGATTTTTTTACTCTTAATCTTCAAGAAACGAGTCTTGTATTAATATAAAGTATGCATGATATGAGTAGTCTTGCTCTATGAGAAGGATGTTATGCCTATTATATGCTATGGATGTTATACATGATGAAAAGGATGCAATGATGTAGCCAATGTGGTGAAATGTGTTTGTCTTTTATTTCATTCAGCATGGTAGTTAAACACATCAATTAAAAGTTAATGTGTTAGTTCTAAATGCTGTATGTGTGTGTGAATTTGGATCATTAAACACGTTAATTAAAAGTTAATGTCGTTAGCTCTAAATAACGTATTTGTGTGTGTGAGCTTGATTAAGGTGACATTTTAATTCATTCATTATGGTAGTGTATGTGTGAACTTGATTGTGGTGCCCTTTTAATTCATTGAGAATCCTCGTTAGAACATCAATTAAAATTTAATGTTGTTAGGTCTAAATGATGTATTTCATACATTAATAAAGTATAATGATTAAGTTTGTATGATTTTTTTTAAAAGAATGAATTCTAATTTTATATGTAAATTGAAGGATTAAAAATATATTTAACCAATAATAAACTAGCATGTTATTGCACTGAAATGATGCTAGTTATGATAGAATAGAGAAGAAGATTTATGCATTGATAGGGAGAGAAAGAAGAATTGAGAAACTGTATATTCTATGTGTTAAACTGTGAACGTATACAAGTGTCTTTATACAAAGAAAAAAAT